GAATATATCTCCTTAGGCTATTGATACAATTTTATATATCTAAAATTGGCTCACACACTTATGCAAACTGGCAAGAACTGGAAGTCCAAAATCTTTAGAGTTGATGTCCTAATTCAAGTCCAAAACCCAAAGGCTGTGCAGAAATAAGAAGAGCCAAAAATGTTCCAGTGAAGTCTGAAGGCTGGTAGAACCTAGTAGAACCAGGAATAGCTGATTTTCCAATTCAAAGTCTGTCAGACAAGATAATTTTCTTTCTTATTGGGTAGGGGCAGCCTTTTGTTCTCTTTAAACCTTCATCTCATAAATGAAGCCCACCCACATTATGGAACACAATCTGCTTTATCCATTCTACTGACTTAAATGTTAATATCACCCCCAAACACCCTCACATAAACACCCAGAATAAAGTTTGACCACATATCTGTGGTCCAGTCAAGTTGACCCAAAATTAACCATCTCACTTCCTCAGGCAGAGGTGGAAGGTCTGCTTTTACCAGCAAAGAAGATTCAGTTTCATTTGAGAGGTTGAGATCTCCAGCTTTATCAGAATCTACCCAAATTTCCCCACTTCCATTTGTAGTAGCCCATTCCTTCCCAGTCAATGTCTAAACTTTAACAGAAGTGGCTGGGAATTAAGTTTGCAACTCACAGGAGGAATCTCTGGCTTTAATTTTCAGAAACGCCAGCCTTATAACTACAGGAGAGAATTTCTTAGAGGGCAGATATGGAAGCTTTCAGGTCATTTAACTAGCAATTTAAAGCCATAAGCTCATTTTTCTTTGCCCTCTTTCTCCAGAGCAGTTAGGAATAACCAACCAATTCCATTTTACCCCCTTATTTTGACTAAAATGTTCTCAAGTGGCTCATACTTAGGCACCTTGAATCTCAATCTTTTGCAGGTACTCAATTACAGTATCCAAAGGTAATAAATTGAGCAACTCTTTCACTACATCATGCCATAGACTACCAGTGTCTTTTAAAACAGTGTAAACAGGCTTATTAATGTCTTTAAATTTTATCAGATTAGAGAACCAATTCAGAGCTTAAAATCTGTTCCTCTGGAACCACTTCTGGTACAAAAATCTGTGTCAGGGTCCAACCAGACAAGCAGAACCAGTAGGGTATGTCTATTCATGCTTCTAAATGAGTGTGTGTGTGTACACATGCATGTATAACAAGGCATTGGCTTACCTAGTATTGGAGTCTGGTTAGTCAAATCCAGAGGGCAACAAGGCAGTCAAAAAGCAAAGATCACAAGCAGGCTGGAGCCTCACAATCACTGGCTGAAGCTGTTGTCCATGGGCTCTCTCCAGAGAAGGTCTAAGTTCTCTTTTAAAGGCTTTCAACTGATTAAATGAGGCCCATCCAGGATAAACTCCCAGGATAAAGCCCCTAGGTTGACTTTAATCAAAAATCTTAGGGGCTTTAATCAAAAATCTCTTCACAGCAGTGTTTGATTCAATAATTAGCAGAATGTATGCATACTACAAAACAGCTGATGCTTCTCTTACATCCTCCAACTCTTGAGAGACTATCTCTTTTAGCCCAATTAACCAGAAATGTACTGAAAACGCAATTCTAGGGAATTTAGTTTATTTAGCCTAGTCAAGATGACATACCACAAAGCCATCATACATGGTATGGTTAACTAACTACCCTTTCACTAAATTTTCTCCTTGTGCTATTGATAAAAAAATAACCAATCTTAAAATCAAGATAAACCTAAAATTTTATAGCATAACTTGTAACAATTCTCCCATACCATAAAAACATTTAGATGTTCTATGTAAGTAGTTTGATTATTTATTGCTAAGTAACAAGCTACCCCAAATGTAATGACTTAAAAATTTTATTGTATCTCACAATTTTGTGGGTCAGAGAATCAGACAAAGCTCGGCTGAATGATTCTTATGTTCCACTTGGCATCAACAAGAGTTAGCTGGTGGTATTCAGCTGACAGATGGACTAGTCTGGAGGGTCTAAGATAGCTTCACTCATATCACTGGTGTCTTAGAAGAGATGGCTGAAAAGCTGGGCTCAGCTGAAAACAAATGGAGCACCTAAAACACATGTTCTCTCCAGCATGGCACACTCAGGTAGCCAGACACCTTACATGGTGGCTCAGGACTCTTAGAAGGAGTGTCCATAAAACCCAGGCAGAAGTTTCAAAGGTTATTATGAGCAAGCTAAGAAGTCTTGGAATGTTTCTGCTCCTTTCTATTGACCAAGAAAGTCACTAAAACCAGACCTGATTCAAGGAAAGGGGAAGTATATTCTCAATGGGAGAAGCAGCAAAGATTTTGTGGCCATTTTGTAGTCTAACACTCTAGGAAATCACTGTGTGAGGGTTTAAGAAATATAAAAATAATCCTTAGGAAAAGGAATATAAAATTGAGTAGTGTGTCAACTGTATAGTCAATCTTGATTACCTATTTCTATGATATTAATGTTTGTTTCCCTCCAAAATTCATATGTTGAAACCTAATCTCCAATGTGATCCTATTTGGAGGTGGGGTCTTAAAGAGGTAATTAGGTTACTAAAAGGTGATTAGGTCATTAAGGAAGTACTTCATGAATAGGATTAGTGCACTTATAAAAGAGGCCCAAGGGAAGTTGTCTGCCCCTTCCACCATGTAAGGATACAGCAAGAAGGCACTATCTGTGAGGCAGACGGCAAGCCTTTAACAGACATTCATTCTGCTGGTTCCTTGACGTTGGACTTCCCAGTCTCTAGAACTATAAGAAATAAATTTCTGTTTAAAAGTTACCCAGTCTAAGGGATTTTGTTATAGCAGCCCAAATGGACTGAGACACTTATGTCAGTAAAGGGAAGTATCCGGGAGCTTGATAGTTAACAATATTATCAACATCAAGTGTATCAATGCTTCTTACACTTCAACATCCACATGAATCACCTAGGGACCTTGTTAAAATGAAGGTCTGAGTCAATAAGTATAGGACAAGGCCTGAAATTCTGCATTTCCAACAAGCTCTCATGTGATACCAATGCTACTGGTCTGAGGAAACATTATAAGCTATATGGTAACCCAAGCCCTGGTCTGAGGAAACATAATAACCCACATGATAGCCCAAAATACTTTTTTGCAAAAGTGTGTATAGTAAATATCTTCTTTCTGAGCCATATATAGTATCTGTCACATATTCTTTTTTTTAAACCTTTGCCTTTTTAATTTGAAAATTTTCTTCTTTACTACAAAAACAGGTCACTCGCTGGATTATCCACAGACCATAGCTTGCTAATCACAGATCTATGTCACTGGGCCTCAAATTTGGCTGCATAGTAGAATCACTCAGGAAGTTCTTAAAAATGCTAATACCTACCATTATTTGATCCCATCTTAAGTATTTTGAACTATCAAACATAGTTTTTACTATACATTTGCACTATAAAAGGTTTCCAAAAAATTATAAATTCTTATTCAGCACTGTCTGAATTAATGGAGATTTAAATTAATAGACACTTTCTAAAGCATCACACATGCTACCTTTCTGAGTCAATAGCTTTAACTCTAAAATTCCTATTTTGAGGAACACAATTTGAAAAGCCATTTTATATTTTTCATCTTTCCCAAGTGAAATTATTTTATCTATAACATACAAGGTATTTTTTCAGAATGAATACCAATGTATTATTAAAGCTAATGGTAAGTTATAGTGTAGCCAAGTAATATCCCATTTTTTTACATGCTACCTTTTCTCTTTATCCTTGCAGATGCTCTTGTTTCAGTTTTTTCCTCTGTGAATTAGCTCCCTTTATAGTTTTAAATTCCTTAATTATATTTCTCTCTACTCTAAAACTTTCAAATAAAATAGTACTTCTGCACACAATAAAACTCAGCAATAGCACATATTTATAAGGTCCCCTCATTCATTCATTCATGTATTCAACAAACAAAAACAGCACATGTTCAATAAATATTCACTGAATGAATGCCACTTACTCTATAAATGATACTCAAGTGAAGTTTTGACCATAACCTGACCCTACTTAAATGCAAACCACATATCCTGAGGATTTCAGAATCAAGTTCTTATGACCTAAGAGTCTATATAATCCTTCTAATTTAAAACTAGAGTTCAGAAATCTAACTGATACCTGATGATTCAAATGAAAGCAAAAATTACTGTTGGAAGCAGTTTTCTACTCATATCTGCTTTCTATAACCATGGATTCATCAGAGATAATCACTATATATGTATGTCAGCACATGAAAATTGTACGACCACAATTCTATGTTGGTTTTTGTTTTTGCGACAGGGTCTCACTCTGTCACCCAGGCTGGAGGTACATGGCACAATTATAGCTCACTGTAGCCTCGAACTCCTGGGCTCAAGTGATCCTTCTGCCTTAACCTCCCAAGTAACTAGGATGATTACAGGTATGTGCTACCACACCTAGCTAATTTTTAAAAAATCATTTTTTATAGAGACAGGGTCTTGCTATGTTGCCCAGGCTGGTCATGAACAGCACAGCTCTTTTTACCAGACAAATTTCCCCTTATATTAACTATGCCATTGTGCATATCTCACAGTTATTGCTATACACTGCTTCTTATCTAGACACTAATTGGGTGGGAATTTTTTTCTACAATAGAAAAAGGCATTCATGGCCTCCCTAGGAAAGAAATGACTCTTTGCCCTAATTATGTTATGTACAGATTTTAACTGAGAAAAGACAATAAGGCTTAAAAGGGTGGTGCATTTTACTTTCCAAAATTACAAACTTAAAACTATCAGAGATAAGGTATACTTAGGACTGTTATTTTATCAATTAACAAGTTATAAACTCATGAATTTGGTCCAATCTGGTTTTAAATTATTGCAAAGTGAATTTTTTATCATATTTTCTTAATAAGTGCTACCATATTCCCTCTCATTTCTTTCTGGTAAGGATAAAGACTGTTTTAATTAAAATGATAACAGGTAAGAAAACTGCATAAAAATATACATTATCTATTTCATTAAGATGAAAAACTCAGGACTTCTAAAAATAAAATATTTAATATCACATTGCTATACCTTACAACTTCATCATCATTTACTGGAAAAAAGAATAATAATAATCAGTGGTATATACATTTGTCTTATTTTTCCCTATTCTGAATCAAGTATGAGTCATAATAGAGAGTGAATAAAGTGGCTTTAAGCCAACAGAAGGAAAAGGACATATATTTCATTCAGACAGAAAAAAATTAAGCAAAGCAAAATAAAGTGGGAAAAAGGATAACATATAAATAAGTACTGTGAAAAGGTGAGCATTGAAGTCATTTAATCTGGAAACATTATGATATGTATATACTTAAATCACAAACATGTTCATAAGTATACATATATTGTTTCCTGTATAACATACTGAACAGTGAAAGTTACATGACTTGATAAGAATAAAATGAAAAGAAGACCATTTAGAGCAATATCACTAGTATTAAAACTAATTCCAGAACAATACAAAAGAATAAAAATTATGTCACTATGCTTAACAATGCTAAAGTTAATTGTTCAGATGATTTTGGCATTGACTAATAAAACATATTGCCTATACAATATTTCAATCAGAATCAGAATTTTCAGATGTATTATCACTAACAGTGGGGAAAGCTCTTAAGCCTTGTTTTTTTTCAGTTCTAAGTTGGTGCAAATGTTCTTTCATGTCCTGAGAAATATGACAAATCCGTCCTTCTATGCCAGGTACTGCAATTACTGCTGATGGTTTATCTGATTCTTCCTCAAAGGCTGTAAGTACAATAAAACCAGTTAAAATATATCACGGCCCCCACAATAAATATTCTAAAATTAAGCCTTAAAGTTTTCAGAATGCAGGAATTGAAATTCACATCAATTACAAAATTGTAACCAGAATTTCTCTGAATATCCATGCTCCACAATTATACAACCATGAATAAAATTTTGATGGAGACATATATATTATACATAATTCAAAGGACACTAATTCTTTAAAATATGGTACATTTTACTTTAAGAAATAGGGTACTTTTATAAAGACAATTATTCTATCAAATAATTAACCAGTTTAAAACTCATTATGAATTTGCTCCAATCTGGTCTCAAATTATTGCTAAGTGACTTTTTTAAAAAGAATAAAACTTTTAAACTAAATTAATAAAATGAGCTGTATATGCCAAGGCACAGCACTTGTTAGATAGGAAAAGACAAGATGTTTTACAGAACACTAAGTATGCCAATTTGACTAATTACAATGGTTTATGTAAATAGAAGCAAGAGAAAAAAAAATTGTAAAGGTAGCTAAGATTGTGAATTTAGAAGACTTTGAAAAATGAAAAAATTACCTAGAACTTATTTGTGTTTTTCAGCATTGAATTTTTAGTTATATGCCTTTCTTATCATTGTATTTCCCTCAGGCTTAGTTTTTTATCTTTGCAAGTAAAGCTTAGTCTTATAAATACTATGCACTGATTTGCGCAACTGGAGTTTCTAAAGCTTAGTCTTTATTATTCCATTTATTTTTTATTATATTTCCCCAAACATAAGAAAATAGAGTGCCAAATAATATTTATCCAATGCCCAGAATTTGACAAAACAACTACTCAAAAAAGAAACACTTCTAACAAACTAAAACTACATTATCACCTGTTAGTGATGGTGATTTGTTTGTAGTAGTAATTAAACTCATCCGATGGCCTGAAAGGCACTGCTTCCTTCCCTGCACAATTTTTATTGATTCAAAGTGATTCATGACTACTGTAGAAAGTACTTGTGCAGTTTCTGTGTCAAACATTCGAGGACAACTTTTAAGCACACTGTAGCCATCCTTCCCCTGAAATATCAAAACATATTTTAATTTTCTAGTACACAAATATGAATAAATCCAAATGAATATATACTTTAAATTTATAGTTGACACTGAAATGCAATTTCATAAATATGTACAAAAACCATAAATTTCCAAATATGTAAACTAATACACTTTAAATTCCTCTCCTACTCCCCGGATCTAGTCATGACATCCATGAACCTGTTGTTCTTACCTCTATTGCCTAACATCTTTAGGAACAGGCTGCCTACAATCCTTAAACATGGCTGTAAAATAGAATCAACTGGGAGGTCTCTTTAGAATAGTATTAGTGAAATTCATCTAAAACCTACCATATGGCTGTCAGCATTGGAACTCTGGAATTTGTAGTTTTTACAAGCTTCCTGCCAGTACCCTAACACTGCTTTAGACTTGATTATTAAAGAATCCATTCAGTTAAACCTAAAAGTCCTTATAGATTTAGTCATCCAAGATTTATTGTACACAACTAAATATGATATAAACAATTAAAATATACTTAAAATATGAATATTAAATGTTTAGAAGTATTACTAAATTTTAAGTTCAGCAATCCATTATGGCATTTTTTTCTGTAGTTGTTTAGTGGCTAGTTTGCCAGTCATTTAAAAAATAGCATGAATTTTGGACATTCTGTATTTTTAAATCTGATAACAAAAACAATTAATAGTGAAATTATACCTGCATATAAGATAAAAATACATTTAATTCATGAATTATAAAAATACAATGGAAAACATTTATTTAAACTACCCAGGGTTTGAAATCATCAAAAGAAAATTATATGTGTTTGTGTGCATCTACATGAATGTATTAACATAAGACAATAACTTTATTTAAAACATTTTGAAAAGAAATTCATCTCACATTTGCAATGTACTCCTTAATAGCAAGAAGGTAAATTTTTTTTTTCCTCAAGTACTGTCCTTGAACTTTTACAGTATCTCTTATGATTCGGTGTCCTGGTTCTGCATCTGGATCAAATCCAAATTCTATTCCAGCAACTTGAGGAAATCTGAAATTTAAAAATATTTTCTTGATAATTCTGTAGAAGATATATTAATAATAAAAGAAAGTATTAAAATTTAAGTGAGCACATTTTATTATGCTACTTAAACTGCCAAAAGTGTGGTTACACATTGGCAGCTGTACCACAACTAGAAAGAACTGGCCAAATGACCTATGTTTTCAAGAAATAAAAGGATAATAGTAAATTCTACCCTTATTTTCTTCCATTGAAAGATCATTTCAAGAATTTTTATTCGCCTACAACTTTAAACTACAACTTCTGTTGTCTCAGTTTCCATCCTTAGTTTCTAAAGAAATATAGTGGTGAAGCAGATAATATATGTGTCTGTTACAAATTTTGTTATCTACACAGCTCATACTAAATGTATATAACACCTAGCTTCTGCTTGCCTATTATTTCAACATTAAGAAATGGCTAGAATTATTTTTACTACATTTATAGGCCATTATTATTGTGATGGTCTGCTTTAAAATACAGACTATATAGCAAATGTGAATTTTACTTTGAGGGGTTTCCAGGGTAGCACCTTAAAAGAGTCAGGCAGAAAACCTCCGAGTAACTGAAATCAAAGTATAAGAAGTTTACTGGAAGGCCGAGGCGGGCGGATTGCTCGAGGTCAGGAGTTTGAAACCAGCCTGAGCAAGAACGAGACCCCGTCTCTACTATAAATAGAAAGAAATTAATTGGCCAACTAATATGTATAGAAAAAATTAGCCGGGCATGGTGGCACATGCCTGTAGCCCCAGCTACTCAGGAGGCTGAGGCAGCAGGATTGCTTGAGCCTAGGAGTTTGAGGTTGCTGTGAGCTAGGTTGACACCAAGGCAAGGTCTCAAAAAAAAAAAACAAAAAACAAAGTTTACATAATTCTAAATTGTAATACATACATGCTAACAAACCTTGGACAGAGAAAAAAAAATTGCTTCAAACAAAACCACCAAATTGAATGTCTTAAGGACAAAGTCTCTGAACTTTGAATCAAACTGCTTCTCATTTGGGCAACTTTATATAATGTGCTCAAAGTGAATGGCAGCAGAAATTTTAAAAATTTTATTATTATGGTTATTCTTCTGAATAATATAGAGTATAAGTAAGCTATAACTTTTCATATTTATAAGCATTTTCTGTCTTATTCAACCTTTCTATTAGAATACACAAGCAATTTTCATGTCTTTGCTTACCACAAATTTACTGCTATTGGTTATTTTTTCAGTATCTTTAAAATACATTCATTAATAAAAATAATCACTGATCACCTTCTATGTGTCAGGCATTGTGCTTGGTACTAGAAACATCCAGTGAAAAAGATACAAATCCTTCCATCAAGAATACTATCCTCTAGTTAGGAGAACAGTTAAGTAAGTAGGAAATGGTCACACAGAGTGATGAGAATTAAGAGAGAAGTGAGTACAGGGTGCTGTGAGTTCACAAAAAAAGGGGTATCAAACCCTCGCCTGGAAGAGGCAAAGTCCATTACTCATCTCTAAAATGTACACCTAAATAACGTTTCATTTTTCTCTAATAATTATTTCCATTTATAGATATTTCCTCTATTCTCTTTAAGCTTTTGGTAATATTGAGGTAAAACTGGAAAAAGAGGGAAAGAAAAAACAGAATGGCTTTCTTCCCTTACAGAGTCTGCCTTTTAAATTCATAACCTCAGTCTTGCATGACCTTTTGGGGGGACTTTTCATTTTGGTTCTACAGCTTATATTCTCTTTTCCTCTCCTACTGCACCTGCCATTCCTCTTGAGGTTTCAGATTAAAAGGACCTAGCCTGTTTGGTACCCAGATTTGAATTAGGAATCAGTCATTCTTACTTCATTAATAAATATAATGAATAAGTAGTAAAATTAATATTCAATATTATCTAACTAGTACTAGAACCATGATTAGATACAAATCTCCTAATTATTCTTTCTTCTAAGCTTTGATGTAACAGAAAAGTGCTAAATACAGCATCAAGACTAAGATAAATAATTCATATAGCTAACACAAAACATGAAAAAAAAAACAGCATTGGTGTTTTAATCTTAAAAAACAACAAAATCAAATTACTATAAGCCTTGGGTTTCTAATCTGTCTCCAGATCCCTAACATAGCACCCACCTCCCTACACACACACACACACACACACACACACACACCAGGTCCTGATCAAAGAGAACACAAAGACAATGAGAAAAAAATACACCTTATTTTCACTGTAATTGGTACATTTATAGAAAAGAAAAACTGGTCTGACATGTAGGATTTTGCAGAAAAACAGAGAAGTATGAGAAAAGGAATAGTCAGAAGATACAAAAAGGAGGAAAAAACTGAATGCGGAGCACATAGAGCTGACCATGAGCAGATCTGCTTGCTGGCAGTGATGACATGGCAATCAGTAATAGAATAATGTTAACAGAGATGGCTAGGAGCAGGCTCAGCCAATGGAAGGGTGGTAATAATAAAAAGAAAGAAAACAAATTTGGCCTTAGGAGGAAGAAAAAAGCAAAGTCACACACACCTTTCTATTTCCCCTCTACCAATTAATGTGAGAGACCAAAAGCAACCAGATTCTAAAAAGAAAGGAGGTAGAGAAGAATCTTTTTTAATAGAGACAAAGTCTCACTGTGTTGCCCAGGCTGATCCTGAACTCCTGGTCTCAAGTGATTCTCCCACCATGGCTTCCTGAAGTGCTAAGATTGTAGGTGTGAGCCACCATGCCCAGCTCTTTTTTTGCTTTTGTTTTGTTTTTTGAGTCAGGGTCTTACTCTGTGGCCCAGCTAGAGTGTAGTGGCATCATCATAGCTCACTGCAACCTCAAACTCCTGGCTCAAGTAATTCTCCTGCCTCAGCCTCCCAAACACCTGGGACCACTGCTGTGCACTACCACACCTGGATAATTTTGTATTTTTTGGCAGAGATGAGATCTTGCTATGTTGCTCAGGCTGGTCTCAAAATCCTGGCCTCTCAGCAAAGAATTTATGAAGAAGATCCCCAAAGGCAATCACAGTAGCAACAAAAATAAATAAATGGGACATGATAAAACTAAAAAGTTTCTTCACAGTCAAAGAAATAGTCATGAAAGTAAACAGACAACCCACAGAATGGGAGAAAATTTTCACATCCTACACATCTGATAAGGGGGGGATAACTACAATCTACTTCGAACTCATGAAAATCAGCAAGAAAAAAATCAAACAACCCTATCAAAAAGTGGGCAAAGGAAATGAACAGAAACTTTTCTAAAGAAGACATAATAATGGCTAACAATCATATGAAAAAATGCTTAACATCTCTAATCATCAGGGAACGGCAAATCAAAACTACAATGAGATATCATTTATTTCCAGTAAGAATGGCCTTTATCAAACTGTCCCAAAACAATAGATGTTGGCATGGATGAGGAGAGATAGGAACACTCCTACACTGCTGGTGGGACTGCAAACTAGTTCAACCTCTGTGGAAAGCAATATGGAGATACCTTAAAGCGATACAAGTGAATCTACCATTTGATCCAGCAATCCCATTACTGGGCATCTACCCAAAAGATCAAATGACACTCTACAAAAAAGACACCTGCACTCGAATGTTTATAGCAGCACAATTCATAATTGCAAAGCTGTGGAACAACCCAAGTGCCCATTAATTCATGAGTGGATTAATAAAATGTGGTATATGTATACCATGGAGTACTATTCAGCTCTAAGAAACAACGGTGATATAGCACACCTTGTATTTTCCTGTATAGAGCTGGAACCCATACTACTAAGTGAAGTATCCCAAGAATGGAAAAACAAGCACCACATATACTCACCAGCAAACTGGTATTAACTGAGCAGCACCTAACACATAGGAATTACATTAATTGGGTATCGGGCGGGTGGTAGGGGAGAGGGGGGCGGGTATATACATACATAATGAGAGAGATGTGTACCGTCTGGGGGATGGTCATGCTTGAAGCTCAGGCTTGTGGGGAGAGTGGGGGAAGGGTATTATTTGAAACCTTAAAATTTGTAACCCCATAACATGCTGAAACAAACAAACAAAAAAAGAATATGTTCTCCCCCAAAAAATCCAAATAACACATATGAAATAAAGTCTTCCTTGATCATCTCTCCCCCCCAAAAAAAATCCTAGCCTCAAGCGATCTTCCTGCCTTAGCCTTCCTAAAGTGCTAAGATTACAAGCATGAGCCACCACACCAGCCCCCAATAATCTTTGATAGCATAGTATCTTAGGCTGACCAAAGGTGGTTGTATACTCACAATCTACAATCTAAGGGAGGAGGTTCCACTTCTGGGTCAGATAAAAGTATACTCCACACTGTCTATACTAATGAACACGTTAATAATGGCAGAATGGATGAAATAAATATTTAAAGACTTTGAACAGTAAACTGTTGCAGGTGGATTCTCGTGGAAAAAAGAAACAGAGTTTGAGATGTTACTGAACTGGCAGTGAGTTTACTATCTTTTTCCCCTACAGTAACCTCCCAGCCTAACCTCAACATACCAGAAGTGGGCACCACCATGTTGGCATAGAGAGCTCTAAAAGAAGCCTTTTAGTTCTGGCTCCAGGAAGGGAAAGATAACTGCTAAAGCTCACAGAGACTGCTTCTTTCCCCTACATTCATACAACCCAAACAACATAGTGGTAGGGACAACACACAGAGTCAACAGGAAACTGCAAGAACCAAAACTCTGAAATTCAGACAGATGCTGTGGTTCAAAGACTGTGGGAAAAATTCCCATTGTTTTTTTTCTCCCTCTGTCCCCCTGCCCATTCCTACTTGGCCCTTGGTGTAGGATAACTGAAGAAGTACGTGACAATGTATGATAACTAAAGTCCTAGCTTTCCAGCTGAAAAACTGAAAAATGAGCCCCAAGAATCTAGGAAATTATTAGGATATTGTAGAGAGGTGAAGGCTCCAGAAAGCAAACCCATAAGGTCATTTATGAACTCCTAAGCTGAACCCTGACCTGCACAAGTATGGAACTGA